TCACTGCTGCTCCACTCTGGCTCATTGTTGGTGGGCTGGCATTGTCACCCGTCATTGAGGACCGAGGGAGATCTGAATAATGGGGGAAGTAGACTAGGGTTTTAATTTACAAATGTAGTTCAAGTCATTTGTGTCTTTGGTGCGTCCTTGAGCACTTTCACTTCTCCAGCTGGTGTCTTTGGCTCTCACTCCACAGAGGGAGGCTAGCTGTGTCCTTTCCCCTCTGCTGAGAGGCTGAAGAAACAAGCTACTCCTGTATTAGCTTGATTCTGTGAACTATCAAGTTGTCAGTACCCCGCAGATTAACATGGCATTTGCTGAAGTTAGTACGATGGCAGGATACTGTTTGTCTCGTCAAAGCCACAGAATTTGAGAGACTGTCAGCTTCACCTCTGGAAGTGCCCTCTATGCAGAGCTGCCATTCAGCCGCATCGCAGTCGGGCCTGTTAGACAGGTTGCATCAGTCAAGGTGGAGAAGGCCTACCTGGTGCAGTCTTTTTACTCCCTTCCTGTTTTTCCTCCTCTGCCTTACACTTCATGTCAGAGCAGTTTTAAGAGGAAAAGCCTCTTTCATTTGCCTGAAACTAACAGGGTACCTAGGTCTAGTTTTCTAGTTTTGGTAGCTTAGTTATAATAAGATGTAAGTGTTAGCGTTTAGTTAATACACAGTCGGTACTGTTGAATGAATGAGGAAAAAAGTATAGGTCTGACAATTTCTCCTGAACCTTTTTAGTTTGCTGAGCCTGGTGCTCCAGAGGGATACCCTGGAAGCCTTGGGTCTCGCTGATCAGGCCCTCCCTTGGCTATCCTAATTTAAGTACTTACAGGGAAGCAAGGATATGAAAAGTTAGACTAAGAACCTGGAGTTAGTGAAGACCTTGCATTTTTGGCAGTTTAGACACCTCTAAACACTAGTGATTTCAAAGGCTTAACACTGAATCTGTGAATTTAGTAAAAATAGGAAATGTAAAAGCCAATGCATCCAAATGAAGAGCATCAAATTATCCACACGAGACTGACTTGAGTAGCGAAGTGGACACTTAACAGTGTAATCAGAAGTCCAAGCATACCTAGCTATAGAATGCATTACATTAACATTACTGTGAGAATTGTAAATTGCATTTCTTGACAGTTTGGAAAACCTAAGCCACAATTTTTTTTTTTTTTTAAAAGCAGCTTTATTGGATGGAATTCAGATGTAGTGCAATTTATCCATTTAAAGTATACAGTTCATTATTTTTTGTATATACACAGGACTATGCAGCCATCACTGCAATTTAATTTTTGGCCTCCTTATCACCCCCCACCCCCAGTAAAAAAGTCCTGTACTTGGGCCATCTAGTTGTATGGTGTTAAGGTGGCTGAATCCCATATGGCCACTTGTGCAGTTTGAGTCCTGGATCCAGTGGTGTGAAAAACACTCCAAGTACATGTATTTGTGTGCCCAAAATCAGGAGAGGAGAATGGAGGAGAGGAATGGAGGAAAACTCTCTCTCTCTCAAGCCTTTTAGCAAATTTAAAAAAAGGGAAAAAAAAAAAAAGGAAAGAAATCCTGTACGCATTGTACTTGCTCCGTCTGTCCCTCTGTCCCCTCCCTCATCAGGCCAAGGCAGCCACCCATCTATTTTCTGTCTGTCTCTGTTTGCCTGTTCTGGACATTGCATATAAGAGGTAATATAATATGTGACTTTTGGTGACTGACTTTGCTGGCATGTTTTCAAGGATTATCCATGTTGTAACATGTATCAGTACTTCATTCCTTTTTATGGCTGGTTAATATTTCATTGTAGGGATATACCACATCATTTTATTTTTGCACTCATCAGTTGATAGATGTTTGGATTGTTTATACTTTTTGGCTATTGTAATTAATAGGGATACCTTTGAAGCCTCGAGTCTTCAAAAATCATTCCATACATGTGGATGTATGTTTTTGTTTTTCTATTTTATTTTACTTTTTAATTTGCTATAGGGTGTGTGCACTTGCTGGAGAGACAGAGAGTGAAAGGGAGAAAACACCTCCTGCTGGGAATGGCCACACTGCAGTCTCTCCTCCATTCTCCTCTCAGGATTTTGGGCATGCATGTACATGCATCCTGTGTGTTTTTCAAGTTGCCAGGTCTGGGTCTTGAACCAAGCATTCATGTGATCCAACATCTTAACCACCATGCCTCTAGCTGGCCCTGTTTTTGTTTTCCTTGTGTATATGCCTGGTAGTGGATTTATTGAGTTATGTGATGACATTCTGAAAAACTTCTACACTCTTTTCCAAAGTGGCTCCACTGTTTTACATTTCCACCAACAATAGTTGAGGATTCCAGTTTCTCTGCATACTAACACAGCAAAGGTTTTAGTTTTTATTTGGACTTTTTCCTACTTTGACAGAAGCAAAAGGAACATTAGCTTGATTTAAGAAATGATAGTACCAGGTCAGCCGGTGGTGTGCTGGTTAAGGTGCTGGACTCCTACATGGCCCACCACAGTTTGAGTCCCAGACCTGGCAGCTTGAAAATCCTGCTGGGTGCATGTATATGCATGACCAAAATCCCTAGAGAAGGAGAAAGGATTGCGGGGGGTGATTTCTCACTTTTCGTTTCTCACTCTGGCAAGCATATGTGTCCTATGGCCAAAAAAAGGGGAGAGAAATGATAGGCCCTTCAATACCAAGATTAAATTCTTGACTTCTTAGGAGAAGGGGAAAGAAGAAAGCAGGACGAACCCCTCTGTTGTAGAAAAGACAAAGACACCAGTTACAGGAATTAAAGCATGTTTATAATTCAGCATATGATTTTTGGGGAGACATTTGAATCTGTAACAAAAGCATAATGACTTACCTAACTCCTCCCAGCATTGGATATTCTTTCTACAGTTGTTTCCAGCTTTCCTGTATCATAAATGCTGTTCCTTTGTCAGCATGAAATCTATGTTAATTTTATATGCAAAAAATAGAAACTTGATTTAATACCCATTTTTAAAAATTTACCAGGCAGTGTGTGTGGTTGCCAGAGAGAGAGAGAGACAAAGAGGGGAAGTAAGAAGGCATTCCCACAGGAGGGATGGCCAGGCTTCATTCCTTTCTACTTCATTCTCCTCTGGGGACTTGGGACATGCACACATACCTGTTGTGATTTTTCAAGATGTCACATCTGGGACTTGAACAGGTTGGCCATGTGGGAATCCATCGCCTTAACTACCATGCTACCTGCTGGCCCCTTGAATTGTGGCCTTTTTTCTTTTTTTTTTTCCGAGACTTTTTTTTTTTTGCTATAGGGCACGTGCGCTCACCAGACAGACAGAGAGAGACAGAGAGACAGAAAGTGAGAAATCACCCCCCAGGGGGGATGGCCACGCCACAATCCCTTCTCCTCCATTCTCCTCTTGGGATCTTGGGCACACACGCACACATGCCTGGCATGAGTTTAAGCCACTGGTCTGGGACTCGAACCGCGGTCGGCTACATGGGAGTTCAGTGACATAGCCTTATGCTAACTACTGGTCCCTATTCATTCATTTATTTTAATTTGATCAGAGACACAGAGAGTGCGAGAAAGAGAAAGTGAGACAGCAAGGCACCAGGTCCAACCATGGTTGACCATGTGGGAGTGTCCAGTGCGTTAACCACCACCTGCTGGTCCCTTTTTTTTTTGTTTAAAAAAAAAAGAGGTTTTGTCTTAAGGGATGTGTGCTCAAGGGGGGCAATGAGAGGGAAAGTGAGAGGTCACCCCCCCACCCCCCTGGGAATGGCCATTGCCACAGTTTCTTCCCCTCCATTCTCCTTCTGGGATCTTGGGCTTGCACGCACTTGTGTCCAGTGTGAGTTTTAAGCATCTGGGTCCAGGAATTAAACTCTAGTTGGTCATGTGGGAGTCCTCTAGTGACGTAACTGCTTTGCCATCTGCTGGCCTGTGTCTGCCACTTTGAATGGAGTATAGTAGTCCCCTCTTACTTAGACTTTTACTTTCTGCAGTTTGAGTGACCTGTGGTCAACTGTGGTCCACAAATATTCAATGTAAAATTCCAGAAATAATTCAGAAGTCTTAAATCAAGCGCCATTCTTATTTGTACAAAGGAAACTCATGCCTTCCTGCTCTGTCATCTCCAGGGCATGAGTCATCCCTTTGTCCAGCATATTCAGGCTGTATTTTTATTTATTTTTATTTTTTGGAGAGATTTTTGCTATAGGGTACATGCACTAGCCAGAGACACAAAGAGAGTCAGAAAGCAAGAAATCACCCCCAAAAGGGGGATGGCCATACCACAATCCCTTCTTCTCCATTCTCCTCTTGGGATATTGGGCACACACACACATGCGCCCCATGTGAGTTTCAAGCCTCTGGGTCTAGAACTCAAACCGTGTTCGGCCATGTGGGAGTCCAATGACATAACCATTATACCATCTGCTGGTCCCTCAGGTTGTATTTGCTAACTGCCTATTAGTCATTTAGGAGCAGTCTCAGTTACCAGATTAAAAACACATAGTAGGTACAGGGTTTGGTACTAGCCACAGTTTCAGGCATCCATGGGGAGGTCTTTAAACAAATCTCTTGGATAACAGGGGACTTTTGTCTAATTCTGGTCCACTGTTTTATCCTTCTTCTCTGGGAAGATACCTTAAGGGAAATATATCGGTGGTGCCTAATTGATTATTACCTATCAGCAGGCACAGCCCCTTTTTCTCATTGATAAGGGGAATGAGTAGAATAAGCTAGTGTGTGTGTGTGTGTGTGTGTGTGTGTGTGTGTGTGTGTGTGTGTGTGTGTGTGTGTGTGTGTGTGTGTGTGTGTGTGTGTGTGTGTGTGTGTGTGTGTGTGTGTGTGTGTGTGTGAGAGAGAGAGAGTGATTGACCGTCGGAGTGGGAGGTAGAAGTTATTTCATTTGTATGGGCATATTCGTACCTGGTGTCTTTAGTGGCCTTAGCAAAGCTGGCTCATTGAAGAAGGGCTGTCTGTGGTGAGTTGAGCTGTGTTCTTGGCTTATCCCGGTTTTCCTTTCCGTTACAGACGCTGTATTCAGGTGGTGCATAAACTGCTTTGCTACCAGAAGAAGTGTCGAGTACGCCTGCATTATACCTGGCGGGAACTCTGGTCAGGTAACTCTATCTTCAATGATCTTTTCCTATACCTTTTATAAGTCCCTAAGCCTGAGTTCAAGATCGAGTTTTCTTTTTAGACTGCTTCTATTTTCATTTATACTGTTTTGTTTTTGCATTTCAGCCTTTTTCTAATTCAAACCTGGGCATGTCACAGATCTGTTCCATACTTTCTTCCCTATGTTTTTCATCAGCTGGTAGAAACTTTGGAGTTTTTCTTGAGTTCCATTGACTCTTCCTTTTGGTAAGAGCGGGGTAGGAGGAGTCAGTGCACACTTGGAGTCTCGCTCCGTTCCATTTGGTCTCGGCATACGGAATATAGAGAGCAGGCTGCTGTGTTTCCTCCGGATGAGTAATCTCAGGAGGACTGTCACAGGGAGAGAGGGTGGCGATGGGGTGGAGAAGTGGGGGGAATCCTGCTCTTTGTGTTACATCCGGCATTATTACTGTTTACAGACAGTGCGGATTGTACCACTCCCCCTGTGCCAGAGACAAAACAGCAAATTACAGTGTTTACTTTTGTCTTTGTATCCATTTGGTAGCCCAGTAAAGTCACTGCTACCCCTGCAGGCGGGATGCGGCTCTTCACTAAGGGTACAATTAATGCTGGCTTGCCACCCTTTTCTTTTGTGTGATTAAATTGGAGGTTTCAGGAAAGCAGTGGGGACATGTTCCCTGAGGCAGTTGCCTGCTGATGGGTCCTGTGGCTTTTGTGACCTGATGGTACAATCAAGTCTTCTCCAGATGACTCCAGTGATGAATGGTTGCCCCACCCAGGGGAGCCTTCTCTGTGTTCTCCATGGAGGAGGGTGTGTTAATGTCAGAGGCTTTATAAGAAACAGGCCAGTGACCCAGCCCCCTTCCATGGAATTCATCTCACTTGTTGTGACACATGGCTTCCTCCCAACCCAATTTGACTTTCTAAATTTAGTTCTCCATAATGGGAAATAGCGATCTTTAATTAATGGATTAGCAAGTTCTTTGCAGTTACTGCCTAGTGTAGTGAACCAGGAGCGGAGAACAGCACTAAGTGGCAGTAGTGGCATTTTGTATTTTAGAAGAGAAGAGTGTGGTTGTGTGAGAGTTTGAGATTGAGGGCATGTTAGAAAAGCTAAGGAAAGATCGAAAGAGATTGAAATGGCTAAATTTAGTAGAATTTCTTAGGCGACGCCAGTTCTTTTTTAAAAAGTTTATTTATTTCTTCCATATGAGAGAGAGAAAGAACGAGAAAGACACGTTTGGCAGGGTGTCCATGCCTCGATTCTCTCACCGAAGCCCTCCAGCCAGCCAGGGTGGTGGGTGCACACAGAGTGTTCAGGTTGACTAAGATCCAAAACCCAGACCTTTCCATATGACTCCAGCATCACCCAGTGGCACCCTACCTCCCGTGCCACCATGACTGGGCCGGTGATTCTTTTAAATATAAAGGTATTGTTGTTGCCTGTGGACAGTCATATGATTGTTAGGCTCAGAATGCCTAGGATTAAAGAGAAAACACAAAATGATGCAAATCTGTGGCTGTTGGTGTAACTAGGACCTGTTGCAAGTGCAGACGGCTTACGTCTGTAACAGAGATGCAGTTACACGTTGTAGTACTAGGTGGTTGGTGGTGGTAGTTATTTCTGCTTGCTTCCCTTCTGGCTTTATTGTCTTTTTCATTCTGGTTTTTTTTTTTTTTTTCCTTTTTGTCCTAGTCATCCTGTCTCTGGCCCCTCTGGCTTTTCCTCCCTTCTCTTTATCTGTTGTCCTTTTCCTCATTGCCCTGTTGCATTGTCTTTTCCACACTGCATTTTCATCCTTTGCTATCTCCTAAGGCCCAGGCTGCCCATTACCCTCTTGTCCCCATCTTGTATTCCCTGTCCTCTTGATGAATTGATCCTTTTATCAGGTTGTCGGGAAAGTCATGACATACTTTCCTGTTTTACTACTCAAAAATGCATCATGACTTTCCAGACAACCCACTGTCATCTTGAACTGTCTTTCTTGTCCTTTGTGCTATTGTTGTCATATGTCACCAACCCCAGAATACATTGCCATCACTTTTGCTTAACAGATAATTACCTTTTTTTCCCCCCTGGCTAATGTGCATGTACACTTGGCAGAGAGAGAGAGAGAGAGAGAGAGAGAAAGAGGGAGGGAGGGAGGGAGGCAGAGAGGCAGAGAACACAGCCTCCAGTGGTGCATGGTCACGTGCAGTCCTTTTCTCTCCATTCCCCCTTTCTGTCAGGATTCTGAGCACACATGCACATGCGCCCAGCATGTTTTTCAAGGTACCAGCAGGCCAGGACTCCAACTACAGTCGGCCATGTGAGATACAGCTCCCTTAACTGCTGTGCTACGGGGACTGGCCTGACAATTATCTTTTTAAGAGATTTTTTTTTTTCCAATATTTTTGCTGTAGGGCATGCCGGCTTGCTGGAATGAGAGAAACAAAGAGGCAGAAAGTGAGAAATCACCCCTGAGGGACCAGCAGTTAGCGTAATGGCTATGTAGCTGAACTCCCATGTAGTTGACTGCGGTTCAAGTCCTGGACCCAGTGGCTTAAACTCAGGCCAGATGCGTGTGCGTGTGTGCCCAAGATCCTGAGAGGAGAATGGAGGAGAAGGGACTGCATCGTGGCCATCCCCCTGGGGGGGGATTTCTCGCTTTCTGTCTAGCTGTCTCTCTGGTGAGTGCATGCGCCCTGTAGCAAAAACCTCTCAAAAAAAAAAAATTACCACGCCCCCAAGAGGGGATGACCATGCTGCCATCCCTTCTCCATTCTCTCAGGATTTGGGGCATGCATGCACATGCACCTGGCGTGAGTTTTAAGCTGCTGAGTCTGGGACTCAAACCACGATCAACCATGTGGGAGTCCAGCACCTTAACCATTGTGCCATCTGTTGGTCCCTCTCTTTAATAGATTTTAAAATGTCTTCTAGGGTTAGACCCATTGCCTGGTGGTTAAGGGAACTGGATATGCATGACTGACTATGTGGTTTGAATCCCAACCCCTGAAGCCTGAGAAACATACCTGGCACCTGCTCATGAGTGACCCAAATCCTGTCAGGGTGGTGAGGAGAAGGGGTTATGGTATGACCACACCTCATTTGGGGCTGCTTTCTCCTTTCTGTCTTTCTGTTAAGTACACGTGCCCTGTAGCAATTTTTTTTGAAGTCATTTATATGTACTTTTTCTTTTAGCATATTGTCATTCTTGGTAGGAAATTGCGAAGGGGACCATTCTTTATCCTCTGTTGGTCGTTTGACTTTATGCTTTTGAGAACTTTGTCTGTTTATAATTATGTGCTATCTGAGGGCTGTTGGTTGGTATTCTAGAGCCTTTGATGGGTTCAGGGGAGGTACACATGAGAGTCATTAGTGAGGCTTGTATGATGCTTGTTCCTAACGCGTAGATATTTGTACTAGAGCTTTCTGCCTAGGGAGGGTAGCTCCTTTTCCTATAAAGACTGGGTGAGCCCTCCTGGAACACTGGCTGTATGTGTTCATATATGGAGTGTACAGTGAGATGCAGAGCAGCAGGTGTTAAAGAAAGCTGAAAAATACAACGCTCCATGCCATGCAGCCAGAGCCCATAATAATGTATAATATTGCATTCAGTGAATACAAGTGTGGCTATGGTGAAGCCACCCACTCCTTGGCTGCCACTACCCCTCAAATGTTGGAATGCCCATGTTTTCACTCTTTCTTTGCCTTTTAACTTCAGGATTTGAGGGAGGTTTATGAAACTCACCATGGCAAATATGCTTCTGTGTATATATGCTTGTCCATACATGTGCTATAAATTAGCATTGACTTTTATTTATAAATAAGACTGGAAAGTCATGTGTTGTTGGATTGGACCTGCCAAAGGCTTTGGGTATCTAGGAAGCAGTCAGCCAGGGGCCAGATGCCTTCTGTTGTTTGGAATGTGGGCGTTTAGTATCACTGTATTCTGAGTGCTGATTTTTATTCCTGTGCTGTTCGATGGTAGTTCTTTGTTACTGGGGAGGTGGCCCAGGGGCTCTGAAATTTCCATAATGAATTCCCAGGCGTGATCTGTGGACAGAGAGGAGCCAGCTGTGTTAGTTGGTGTTCAGCCTTGCCCCCTGTGCTTTTCCTGCTTCTCTGTACAGATCCAAGCCCTGACCTACTCCCTGCTGCCATTGATCCCTGTCTATTTACGTGGTGCCTGTCTCCATGGTATCTGAGGGTGTGGGGAAATATATTTAAGCTGACTTCAACTAGAAAATGGAAAGGAAGAAGTCCTACTTCTCTGCATTGCCCTCTTTTTTAGCAAACACTATTTTTCACCAAGTTACAGAAAGTTTGAAAGCTCCCCTCTATCCAGATTATCTGTCTTGAGTTAAAGGTTAGATCTTAAAACTCTCCTTGGAGGGACCAGCAGTTAGCATAGTGGCTATATCGCTGGACTCCCACGTAGTCGACTGCAGTTCGAGTCCCGGATCCGGTGGCTTAAACTCACGCTGGGCGCGTGTGCGTGCGTGCCCAAGATCCCGAGAAGAGAATGGAGGAGAAGGGATTGCGGTGTGGCCATCCCCCTGGGGGGGTGACTTCTCGCTTTCTGTCTCTTTGTCTGTCTGGTGAGCACACACACCCTATAGCAAAAACCTCTCCAAAAAAAGAAAAAAAAAAAAAAAAACTCCTTGGAAACAGTTTAGAAAGCTGGGTTTTGGGATAAGATCCTAGTCTTTTTTTTTTTTTTTTTTAAGAGAGAGGTTTTTGCTATAGGACATGTATGCATGCCAGAGAGTCAGAAAGCAAGAAATAACCCCACAGGGGGGTGGCCACATCGCAATCCCTTCCTCTCCATTCTCTTCCCTGAATTCTAGGCATGCACGTGCCCACCATGAGTTTTAAGCTTCTGGGTCCAGGACGCAAACAGCAAACCTTTCTGGACTGCATGGGAGGCTAGCAACAACTATTACGCCATCTGCTGGTCCCAGGATTCTAGTTCTTTACCTTTGAGAATAGGTTGGAAATTGTAGTCTTGGCGACCAG